ACTGTACTTCTGACTCCCAATCATATAAAGTGATTTTATTAGTTGTTACATTATTTATATGATTCTGTACTTTTCCTTTTTTGACCTTGCTTTCTCTTCTCCCTAAGCACAACAACACTTTGACCCAACCCTCTAGGAATTAATGATCAGTCAAATAAAACTTTTGATATCTTCTATCTCTTCTCTGTAACTTCCCTTCTTTGCTTATTCTAATGTAAACTGGTTGACTCTTGAAGATACTGTTTCTCCTCTAGCCCTCTCAGGTAGTGACTATTTCCTTCCCACACTCCTTGCACAATTAATGCGGCAGTAAAACAAATATCTTGCTTTCTTCTTCTTGCTTTTTTAGACCATTGTCATTCCCTCCTTGACAATTTTTCCAGCTTTAAATTGGATTTATATTATCCATATGGCCACCTGAATGCAATCAGGGATTGCATCGCTGAGTGCAAGGAATCAGTCATCTGCTGTCTCTGATCGCTTCTCCTCATTTCATGATTTGAAAACCTTGTTTACTGACATTATCTCATTAATGTTGCCTTAATTGCTGGTGATTGAAATATTCACATAGGTTATACTTCTAATACTTTGGCATCTCAATTTCTTGATCTCCTCTCCTATAACAGCCCTGTTTTCAGTCTACCTCACTCCCTCACTGCCACTATCTTACACTTAATATTATGATGCTAAAGAATTTCAGCTTCTTCATCTCAGTTTCCAGCATCCCATTCACTCCATCACCTCACTTTCCCAGGGCACTTGACCTAGTACTATAATTCCAATAATCCTTTGACATGATCAAGACCTCCAATCTAGTGTTCTTACCATGTTTCACAACTTCTAAACTCTCTTATGTCCTCACTTTACTTTTATATAGATTAAATTTCACAGCCAATCAACATAATCATGCCTTCGCATGCATTTCAATTCCCATCCTAGTTAAACCCATCTCTCCTATTCACCACCTGCATATGTGCACACAAATGTGATGGAGAAAAACACGCAACCATTCAGACTGGTGTTATATCAATTATATGGCCACTGTTCTCATTTAGACCCTCATTGTTCTCCAGAAATCATAACACATTGCTCTGGACTACTCACTTTCTGGCTTTTCTAGATGACTTTTTCATGCCTGTCTCATATCCAATAGCCACCACATCATCTCCCATACTCACTCTAGTCTGATTAGCTCGATGATTTTTTAAAATTTGGAAATCAACAGAAGACATTGCACTCTATCATCTCTCAGTTCACTTCAGTAGCCTCTCAGCTTTGTTTTGGTTTTTCTAGTTATTCTTTACAAAACATGCAGAATTATCTTGCTAAAATATAAGGCAGGCCATGTTATTTCTCTTGCTCAGCTCCTTCCAAGCGATTCCAAAGCTGGGTGTCTTCTGTGTCCCCTAGATCGTTTTTGCTCTTCTCTACCCTGTTTTATGTCATAGGACACTGCACTTTTTAGGTGGCCTCTGTCAGACTTTTTGATCTCTGGATTATGGTTAGATTCAACAGTGAGGACACTAGCCAGAGACTGGTGGGCGGGAAAGTAAGATCTAGGTATTCCCCCTGCTTCTATCTGGCCAAATGTTGGCTGTGTCCTTCTGTAGAAGACCCACAGCCGCTGTCCATTGCCCACTCCATGAAGATATCCCTGTTTTCTTATAACTACCTCATCTTCTTGCCAGTTTAGGCCTAGGGAAATTATGTTTCCAATTATGCTATTACTGGGTACTATGCTGTCTCATATTGTGTTTTCTAAACTTTGTCTACACATCTGAAAATTAAAAATATATATATATTATTCTTACATACGTGGTATATACATGCCATATGTTTTCTGCTGGGGCTACAGAGATACATTTGCCATTTCATGTGGAGAGAAATAAAAGGTCTTTCAGTGGCCTGCAAAGGCATACATTAGTGCCACCTCACTCTCTAAGACCTCTGACTTCATTGCCTTCTTTCCCACATGCTCCATGTACACTAATCACAGGATTCCTTGCATTTGATTTTTGACATCTTAGGGCTTTTACACTTGTGTTAAGTCTGTTTCTTCTCCCACCCCCTTAAGATCTTCACTGAAAAGCCACCTTTGGAGTGGGGCCTCTTTCAAATACTATTCAAAATTGAAAGCCCTTTCCCAGCCCTCTTCACTCCATGTCGCCTCTTTATCTATCATATAACAACCTCTATATTTTACTTACTTAGTTTGTTTATTATCCATCCCTTGCCATTAAAATGTAGGCTTGAATGGAGCAAGGAATTTGTCTGTTTTATTCATTCACATGTTCCTGGTTTTTATAATAATCCTTGGCACAGAGTAGGTACTCAATATTGTTGAATGAATGAATGAATAAAAACACAGGGAAAGTGCTACAGGGGATTTAATAGAAAAGACAGTATTTTCTGCTGGAAGTATCAGAAAACTTGTGTTTGAACTGTACCTTGAGAGTGAACATGTGAGATGAGTAGGAGGGTTTTCCCAACAGTAACAGCTTGAACACAGTCACAAGTACTCAAGAAATGACAAGTCACTTATTTGAACTGGAATGTTGAGTGCATATATGGAAGGGAAAAAGACTAAGTTTTTGAAAATCAGCTAAGGCTAGAGAATGGAGTGCCCTAAATTTGGGCTAAAACAAACCAAAACAAATGTATCTTTTAGGAAGTAAGGTGACACAGTCTTCGAGAGTTAGTGTCATGGTCAGAGTTGTATGCAAGAAAGATTGATTTGGTGATGGCTACACAGTGTTTGAAGAGGAAAGAATGGGGTAAGAGAAACTGAGAGCTGTTTTGAGAGATGATGAGCCCTGAACTGCAGCATTGGTGATGAGCCTGGGAAGAAGGGCTGCAGGATATGTCGTCATTATATAGGAGTTTACTGACCCATAGAGGATAATATCTATTATTCAAGGCATCTGGAAGAGCTGATCTCTTAATTACCACCAGTACCTAAATCAACAAAGTAAATTATTTTATTTTTACCATATCATTTGTATTTTAAATCAATAAACAGATTATTTTTTTTCTCTTGGAATTCATTAGCCAGATTATTTTTTTCTCTTGGAATTCATTAACTCTATGGCACACTGCAGATAGAGAGTATTTATCAGAGCTTAGTGTCCTGTCCTTTTGGGCCTATTTAATAGCAAGATGACAAACAGAACATCTGCCAATGAGCTTGATGCTGATTCTAGCATCAGCTGTTATGCAGATAGAGAGGAGCAGGGATGGGAGCCCTTAATATGAGGGTAGCAGCCAGGCCAGGCATGGCACAGCTGGGGCTTTTTTCACCCCCACTTTGTCACAGACCATCTGTCCTGAAGTAATGCCAAGGGCCAAATTTAGTGGTGCAGGATGTGATGTTGGAAATCTCTGGATTCCAATGTTGAAATTCATTTCATACAGTAATGGGCAAAAGAGTAAAACGGTGTCTTTAATAAAACATTACATCTGTGATAGAGCGGGGATGAAACAAAGAAGATGCAAGATTTTATTACTTAGTTCCTGATGAGAGTGGTCATGATACTTTATTTATTTAAGAAAATGTTAATAGAAAAATTGCCACGTACTAATCACTATGCTAAGTGCTCTGATTAGAGATTCAATAAATAATGTTTCTTCATGGGCGCTAACAGAACAGCAGGTAAAACAGATATGCAGAAATTTAGAATTTAACACCAGAAGTATTAGGAATGATACAAGGGTAAAAAACACCTAATTCTGCCTGGCAAACATTTTGAATGGTTTAAAAACATTTGGGCCGGACTTGGAGCACTGTAAAAGTTGTGATGTGGAGAGGAAAAGGAGCGGGCATTCCAGGCGGAACTTTGGCAAAGCACGTAGGCCATAAAAATACTTGGCATTTTCTGCAAACAGAGCGATAGTGTACATGTAGCTTATATTCTTGGGAATCTTGGGGAGAATTAAGGGGAAAAAACTCTGACTTTCTGAAGAAGCAATTGACTCAGGAAGAATGGAAGAGAGGGGGCATCTCTGAGATTTGGTTTGATTTTGTGCAACTCAACTAGCATTTTATGAACTTATAGGGAATGCCAGACTCTAGATAGCTGATTTTACACTATCTGAAAGGGATCATGGATTGTGCCTTGATACACATGGAGACCTCACTATTTTTACACAGACTCCTAGAATACCAGGGATGGAAAGTCACATCCTGATCCTCGAATTTTATTGATGGGTAACCATGCCATATGCTTTGCTTGAGGTCCCACAAGAAAGGAATTACAGTTTGGAAGCCTCTCACCTTTTAAATATTATTCCCAATATTACTAGACCCTGGTGCTGGGATGTATGTGTATATGGAGAGGGAAGGAGGCTATTTAAGCATTACTCAGTGAATAAAAAATATATAAAATTCTAACATTCTACAGAATTCCTAGTGCAATCCCATCCATTTGGAGGGCTCAAAAAGCCTGATGTACAGAGAGGAGAAATGACTTGGTTGTTAATATATAACCATTTCAGTTCAGAGCTGTTTTTTTGTTTTTTTTTTTTTTTTTCAAAGAAAGCAATTACCTTTCTTTGAAAGTTCATCTTTACTTTTACAGTGGCTGCTTTGTAGAGTAAACCCATTTTCAATCTCTCTAGAGATGAGCCCAGACCCCAAACCAAGAACATGGCTAACAAGCCCCATTGACCCTATCCTTCTTTAGCTTCCAGAGACTGACTGCCTTTTATCTAGAGCAGAGCAAAGGAGAGAGAAATTGAGAGAAAGAGAGGAATGCCAGGACTTTACAGTATATAACTTTCCCCCATTCTGTAGTATTTTAACAGGCAAAAGAAAAAACCTAACCAGAACCAGAATGAGACAGCTCTCATTTGAGTTGTGGCACCACTGTAGTCAGTTGATTACCATGTTAAGAATAAAGTAAGGAAGGCTAAAGACTAGTCACTTGCCTTTTCTGGACCTTAATTTATTCAACTGGAAAGTAAATGTTCGTGTATGTTACTGCAGCGACTTTAAAATACTTGGGGGGACCTGGAACCATCTGATGAAGAATCCTCAGAGGAAGAGGAAGAGGAGGAAAGTGATGAAGACAAACCAGATGAGACAGGCTTTATCACCCCTGCAGACAGTGGCCTCATCACTCCTGGTGGCTTCTCATCAGTGCCTGCTGGAATGGAGACCCCTGAACTCATTGAGCTGAGGAAGAAGAAGATTGAGGAGGCGATGGATGGAAGTGAGACACCTCAGCTGTTCACTGTGTTGCCAGAGAAGAGAACAGCCACTGTTGGGGGAGCCATGATGGGATCAACCCACGTTTATGACATGTCCACGGTTATGAGCCGGAAGGGCCCAGCTCCTGAGCTGCAAGGTGTGGAAGTGGCCCTGGTGCCTGAAGAGTTGGAGCTGGATCCTATGGCCATGACCCAGAAGTATGAGGAGCATGTGCGGGAGCAGCAGGCTCAAGTGGAGAAGGAGGACTTCAGCGACATGGTGGCTGAGCATGCTGCCAAACAGAAGCAAAAGAAACGGAAAGCTCAGCCCCAGGACAGCCGTGGGGGCAGCAAGAAATACAAGGAGTTCGAGTTTTAGGTCCCCTTACGCTGGCCTTCCCTGTGGTCCTCCATCTGGATGCCTGAGCTTCACAGAAGAGCCACCTCTCCCGCAATTCCCAAGGACTTGTCATTTCATGTTCTTATTTTAGACCTGTTTTGTAAATAAAGCTGTTTCCCAAGGAAAGAAAAAAAAATACTCTAACAAATTCTTTGTTACTCCTCCATTCAAGAGGTGGAGCTGAATTCCCCAACTCTTGAGAATGGGTTGGACTTAGAGAATCATTTCTAACCAATAGAATACTGCAGAAGTAATAATATATCACTTTTTGTCTTTGCCCAAAACAAAACTATTCTATCATGAACACTTTGTTCTGTTTAAGATGGCTGATCATATGGATGTAATAAATACTAGAGTTATGGATTCTTTTGATTACCCAGTTCAGTCACTACACTGATTCTTTCTCTCATTTTATCATCTTTATTTTGTAATATTTTATGTAATTTAAAAGATAGGAAAATAAATGATTCAATTCCAGTGTTTTGCGATGAGTCTTAAGTTTTGTACATTAAGAAAAGAATTATTTACAATATTAGGAGTTCTTTTACCTTTTAAATATATATTTATAATATAACATCATGTATATCTCATTGAAACATATGCAAACTTAAAACAGTTATCCTATATAAAAGCACATATCTAGATCAATATGGGAGATTCAGTAGACTGAGATGGACCCCAGGTATGTGTAATTTTTTAAAAGATAATATTCAATTCTAGTTAAGAACCACTTGCTCAAGGTATTTCAAAACACAATGCTAAATGATAAGTTAATTGCAAACGTGACAGAGTTTTTGACAATAGAAAATTAATAAGTTATGTATGTCTTTGAGTCTTAAATAAATACATATTAGTTTTTTTTAAATAGAGCAATGAGGTATTAAAATTCCCATTACCTGGGTGAGATAAGTTAAAAACAGCTTATGATCTTAATTTCAGTTTATTTTGAATTTTTCTTCTTTCTTCCCATTAGCTCATTTCAAAGACTCATGTTTTTCATTTAAATATTTTGAAATCATTAAACTCTTCAAGAGAAAAACTTTGAGAATTATTTTCTAAGGGATTTTGAGTGCATCAGTAATCTCCTTGCTATACTAAGAAATGATAGGGTTTTTTTGTTGTTCAACATTACAAACTTAATAACATAGATCAAGACTCATTAACCATTAATATTTGCCAACCTAAAGAGAGCTTTTTTCCATGATCTAATATTCCATATACATTAGAGAAGTCATATAAAGATTTAAATGTTTAATACAAACAGAGAATCCAAATGTATAGAAAGCAGATGCACAGATATCACAGGCTTCATCATACTCACACTAGTTCTTGTCTCTTCCTTGATTTGAGCTTTAGCATCTTCATTTTGAATACCCTATTTAGCTCTTCAGATAAATGGATCAAGGGATGCTTTCTAATGACTGTGTTACATGCTCTGCTGTGTTCTAAATGTCTTCAGTTCTTCTGAGGCTCCTTGGATATCCAAAGTGGAATGGCTCATTTGCAGATAGTTTGACCATCACATTCTTAGAGAACTAACAAAAGCTCCTGAATGGAAAGTAACCAAATGCAGTCACTTTCAAATTTTTAAGCATGGTTTTTCTTAGCCAGAAGCTGTGATTACGATTATTATGCATTCCTTCAACAATTTTTCTTTGGGGAGCACTTACAATCAAGGTCTACTCTTCTGCCTGCTGTTTCATCTTGATACCTTGGCAAACTGAGGTGGAGAGCTGGTAGCAAAGCCTTTTATTTTTTTTCCATTATCAAAGTATGTGACATATCTCTTACCCCTTCTGGCTTCCTCCATATGTTATTCTCATCACAGTTGTAGACAAAGACCATGCTATGTGTTCACCAAGTTCATTTCATTTTTTTCTCTTTCAAGAAATAGGAAGACTACATTTGCTATTCTTTTTTATAATTATATCAGGACCTCAGTCTGGCTAATGAATTGTAAGTGAAAGTAATGAGTGTCATATTTCAGCTGAAGCATAGAACAACAGGAAGAAGCCACACATTTCACATGGCAAAACATAAAAAAAGTAAGCTCCTATGCTGCACATATAGCGTAAACAAGAAATAAATCTTGTTAGATGAAACTACTGAAATATTGGGGTTCTTTGTTAGCATGGCATAGCATATCTTATTCTGATTAAGACACATGATGACTACAGCAATCTCACCAGGTTCCAAATATCACTGATTGATACTTCATATATTATAAATACATTCCACTAATCATTATTAAAGTATTTCCTTGAGCTGAGGCAACTTCAAGGGCTAAACATGCCCTACATTTTCATCTATTGCCTGCAAACACCTTGCTAAGAGGATGATTTGTAGTCCTTGGCTGGAGAAAATCAGAGCCTACAAGGGTAAAAGAGGAGTTAGAGAAGTAAAAATTAATGGTTCTTCCTTTTTGTGCATTAGAATCACCTGGGAAAGTTATTCCACGTGCAGATCCACCCTACATCAGAGATTCTCATTTAGTTAATCTTGAATGGAGTCAAGAAATATGCATTTTAATATGATCCCCAAATGGTTCCAATGTGGATACATTGATGAATACACTTCAGGAAGGCTTGGGCAAGCACCTAATTGAGGCTCTGTTCCCTTACAACCTGGACAATAACACAGAAAATATGCGAAGGGTTTGAAAGCGTTATTTCATAGGTAGTAGTTTTCTAAGTCTTGACCCATGAAATGCCTTATTTAATTATCAAGGGCATGATATGAAAATACAGATTTCTAGGCAATGCCCAGCACCTAATGAATTTGTCTCTCTGGGGAAGGGCCCGCCCTAGGACCTTTATTGTAAGATGTCCCTCAAGTTACTCCTAGATGCATAAAAGTTTTAAACCAATGCCATATAAATTTCTTATCCTTCTGTGCATATCTTTATGATTAGTTCAATTTATTATTCCTGATTTTTTCTGAACCGAAACATTATTTTCCCAACCACTTCAAATCTTCAATCTGGGAGTGCATATATTGTTGCTAGACTTCTTATTAGTTATAGGAGAAGGTAACTCTGAAATTCAGTTTTCATCGTAGATGCTGAAAGATAAAATTTGTTTTTCAAGGTAAATGGTGAATATATTTTTATTTTCCATCAGGAAAAATACAAATAATTTATTTTAAAGGAAAAAATATAGCATTATCATAGAATCTAGAGGACACCAAAAAATTCTACCTTTTAAATGTTTTAAGAAAGTTTATAGCATTTACAAATGAAGCTATAAAAATTATAATATGACAAGGCCAGATGATATATCAGACCCTTAGTATAAAATCTAATTAGTTGTGTGTGGGTTTATATTAACTCCTTTTTTAATTTGAATGTTTTAGTGGCCCAGATTAAATAGTTCCATCAAGGTAGCTTTGTAATAGAATTACTTCCCCTTCAATCTTACATGGATGGTTCTAGAATGGGTATTGTATCAAGTGTCAGGATCTGGGTTACAGACTATTGCTAATTGACTGTCACTAGGAAAGTCACTTGACCTGGGTAGTATGTTCCTGTTCTATACCGCTTTTGGACATTTTATGAGACTTTAAAAAAGGTGAGGCATATGAAATAAATGTACAATATATCATTTAATGCCCACAACAGCCAACGAGGTTAATTATTGTATCTTTATTGTAGCTAGCAGAAGATTGAGGCTTAGAGAGATCATGTTCAAACAGATAGGAGAGAAGTAAGACTCACATCCATCTCTACTTGACTTAAAACTCACGCAGCTAAGTGGACAATATTTCTTAGTCAATGATATATCCATTTACCCTACAATCTTGTAATTTCTCTTATGGATAAGCAGGGCCCATGAAAAAAATGTTCTTTCTTATTATAATTTGCCTCACTGAAATGTATGGTACTGAATATCACATTTAACTGTGGCATGTCAGGTCAAGAAGTAATAACATAACTTCTGAGTTTTTCTCCATACAGTAGAAGTATAGTCCATTATTTTTTTGACCCCTACAGAGCTAATTCTCAACTAAGGCTTTTTACTGCTTCCACTACACTTGTATTGTCAAAGGCAATTGATACTTACCAAAATGTAGTTCTGACAGCACCAACATCATCTAGTTACACACATAATACGAGCTCATGTTTAATTTTCCATGCCTCTGCCATTAGTTATTTTTCTTCACTAAGAAAATAATTTATAAGTGAAAAATGTAATTTCTCATTTTTTTCCCAAAGATATTTTACATTTGAGATGCTGTGTTAATACTGATAGTTGGTAGAAGAATCTTCTCCTTCTTGAGCTTTGGAGCCACTTACATTATCCATTATTAACAGATTTGGAGAGAAACTGCTATCTGGCTCCCAAGTTAAGTTCCCTGAATATACATCAAGGATGGATTACTCTTCACAAGAAGGGATATAATCGAGGACAAGGCCTTTCGGTAGTGCTAAGTTATTTTCTGCTGGATATTTAGTTAGGGTGGCCAGTCATTTCCTAATTACAAGTTTCACTGTGAGCCACATTTTCTCTAGAAGAGCCTTGCTCCCCCATGTTTGGAGTAGGAATCTTCTAGTTTTTTTTGTTTGTTTGTTTCAACAGAGAAAGGATCTTCTGAGTACCTTTTCAAGAGGGTTAGTGGGATGAAACTGCTTTCTTTCTTTCTCCACTGCCCATTCACTGTTACTGACTCGGAGTCCCTGACATTCATTGGGCCACAACTCACTAACAGCCATAGCTAATGTATTAAAGGTGACTTCTCATGTATGGTGTGGTCTCTCACTCTTTTGGTTCTGCTCCTGTTCTGGAGTAGCAGGCTTCATGGTTCTTATTTTCTGATAGCAAACTTAACAGGAAAGAAACTTCTGAAGAGTAGATGGAAGGCACCCTATTTTCCAGATTTCTGTTTTCTAATGGAGGATTAGGTCAAATCAGCTCAACTGTAACAGCCCAGATGTCTTAAATTTGAGGAGAGAATAAACATTCTTCACTATGCCCTTAGAGTCAATCTGTCTTCCAGTTCCAGTATTTCCAGGGACACTTACATCCCATTTGGATATATGTTGTTTGGTTATATACTTGAGTTATGAAATTACAAACTAGTTGCCCTCTAGCTGACTATGATCCACATATATATTTTGTTTGGCTCTTTGTTTCTTCCTTCT